CAAGCTCAGGGTTCGGCCCCATTATATCCTATGGGCCATTGAACTCAATGGCAAAAACATAGGGTATATTCTGGGGGCTGGAGGGGAGGGAGTTTGAGGGAGAGGCTCCAAAATTGCAGGGTAGCTGCTGGAGCCTCTCCTCAAGATACTCACCATGTCTCAGGAACATTGAACCAGGGGGTCCAATTCTACGGGCCCCCAAACAGGTTGCTCCTATCCCCTCCATTGTTCTCTATAGTGGGAAAAGGTTACTTTTTTCCCACCATAGAGAACAATGGAGGGGATAGGGGCAACCTGTTTGGGGGCCCGTAGAATTGGACCCCCCGGTCCAATGTTCTTCACACTTGGTTGGTATCTTGGGAAGTGGCTCCAGCAGCTACCCTGCGAGTTTGGAGCCTCTCCCCCAAACCCCCTCCCCTCCAGCCCCCAGACTTCAATGGCCCATAGGATATAATGGGGCCGAATTGCTGCCGAAATTCGGCGGCAATTTGGCAGCAAAATGGGGCCGAAATTGAAAGGAGGGGAGGGCAGGGCCGGCTCTGCAGGCCGTTTTTCAGGGGCGGCCTCCAGCGAGGAGCCTGAAAAGGGCAGGGAGGGCAGCTTAGCAGTCCCCCCCCCCCAAACACACACACACGGTGTTTGCAGCTGACCCTGAAAAGAGCCCCTAACCAGAGCTGGGGGAGCCAGAATGACCGGAGCTCAGGGAGGCAAGGGAAAGTTTCACCCTCCCCCCCCCCCGCCCCCGGCGTGCAGCTGCCAACGAGAACAGCCTCCCGCCACAACTTTTTAAAGAGCCCCTGAGGAGAGCTGGGGGAGTCCAGCGGCAATGCCCTGTGCTGTGGCTGGGCGCCAGCTTGGGAGGGCGAGGGGTGGGCAGGGCTTCTGGGAAATTTTGGGAAGGCTGGCGCCCCGCAGCCCCCACGAACTTTACGCCGGTGAGTTTAGTGGCAGAGCAACTGCTTCACGTGACGTACTGAAACTAAGGACAAGCGATTACCCATAGGGAATACATGAGTGGACAGCGATTGCCCATAGGCAATACATGAGTGCCAATAGAGAATGCATGATTGCCCAGAGGGGATAGTGCAGAACATAATTGTCAATAGAGAATCCATGATTGCCCATAGGGAGTAATGGAGAGTAGGCTTGCCCAGAGGGGACAGTGCAGTAAATAATTGCCAACAGAGAATCCATGATTGCCCATAGGGAGTAATGGAGAGTAGGCTTGCCCAGAGGGGACAGTGCAGTAAATAATTGCCAACAGAGAATCCATGATTGCCCATAGGGAGTAATGGAGAGTAGGCTTGCCCAGAGGGGACAGTGCAGTAAATAATTGCCAACAGAGAATCCATGATTGCCAATAGACAATCCATGATTGCCCAGAGAGAATAATGGAGAGCAGAGCACACCTGACCATAGGGTATAATGGAATCCACGCTTCGCACAAAGAATAAGAGAGACCACATGTGCCCATGGGGAATAAGGGAGACCACACGTGCCCATAGGGAATAAAGGAAACCACGCTTGCCCACAGAGGATATTGGGGTCCACGCTTGCCCAAAGGGAATAATACAGACCAAACTTCCCCATAGGGAAAATGGAGCCAATGCTTGCCATAGGGATTGAGAACACGCTTGCCCATAGGAACTACTGGAGAGCATCCTTGCCTATAGCGAATAACAGAGACAATGCTAGCTCATAGAGAATAATGCTGTCCTTGCCTGCCCACAGAGGACAATGGAGTTCACGCTTGCCGATGGATAATAATGGAGACTACGCTTGCCCATAGGGAATAATGGAGACTACACTTACCCATATAGAATAATGGACACCACGCTTGCCCATAGGGAGTAATGGAAAGCCCGCTTGCCCATAGGGAATAATGGAAAGCATGCTTGCCCATAGAGATTAATGGAAAGCAAGTTTGCCCATAGGGAATAATGGAAACCAAGCTTGCCCATAGGGAATAATAAAAAGCACGCTTGCCCATAGGGAATAATGGAGACAACGCTTGCCCATAGGGAATAATGGACACCACGCACTAGTTATGGCATCTGCTCCGGGACACCTCGAAGCATTTTACCCCACTCACCCCGAGCTTTGGGATTCGTGGACGGACCAGCTGACATGCTACCTTGCCTACAATGAGGTGACTGACACTGGCAAATGGAGGGCCTTCCTCCTTAGCTCTTGTGGGGTGAACACCATCAGGTTCGCGAAGAGCCTCCTGGCCCCAAAGGCGATCCTTGAATGCACATATGAGGAGGTCATCGAGGCCTTAACCCGGTATTTCATGCCCAACCCAACAACGATGGTCAAGAGGATGGAGTTCCAGGGGCTCATCCAGAAGTCCGGAGAAATGGCTGCTGCCTTCATGGCCGCTCTGTGCCAACATGCCATGGAGTGCGGTTTCACCAAGGTCAAGGAGAATATCACAACCCAGTTTGTCTGGGAAATTGGAGAAGTAAAACTCCGTAGAAAGACCTCAAACTAGACAATGCACTTCAGCTAGCCATTGCCTATGAGGACCGTCGGTGGCCCACCACATGCTCCCCGACTCAGCTCTCGAGAACTCCAAGGAGGAGGACATTAATCTTCTCCACTCCTCCAGCCAAAGGAAGCCTACAGGAGCATCTGGATCCTCCAGAAAACCTGCCGGTTGAGCAACGTGCGCAAGCTGCAGGGACGTGCATGAGCATAAGTCATGCTGGTTTTGAGATGCCATCTGCCACTCATGTGGAAAGCAAGGACACCTCGCCCAAGCCTGCTGGTCCAAAGGGACCAAGAACCAACAATCTTAGCCACAGCCCCACTGACAAACCTCTGCGACCTATAAGACCACCGTGGGAACCGACAACCTCTACCTCCTCACCAGCCAGCCTTCACTCCAGGTACTCCGTCTCCGCAACCCGTCTGCTGCCCTGAAGATCCAAGTCCAGGTCTGGATTGAGGGATCCCTGTGCTCAGTGGAAGTGGACTCGGGGTCAGCGGCGTCCATCATCTCGGTGGAAATGCTGAACAGACTCTGTCCCAATGTGGGGGCTCACCTGCATCCATCGCCCTTGAGCTTAGTGGACTTCCATAGGAACCCAGTCCTGATCCGGGGCATGGGGACCTTCTGGGTGCAGTACTGGGGGTTCGAGGGTTTTCTGGACTTAATTGTGGTGGAAGGAAATCTGGTTAGTCTTTCGAGGAGGGCCTGGTTCACGCCGCTGGGCATCACCATCGGGGGGGGGGGTTAAAGCAATGCGCACCGCAGGATTTCACGGAGGTTTGCGGGGAGTTCCCCATGGTTTTTGATGGGGCTCTGGGGTGTTATAAGGCCCCCCCATGTCATTGCAAATTGATCCCAAGGTAGCCCCCATTCATGTGTGGTTCCGCTGCACTCCACTCGCTTTGTGGCCGAAAATCGATGCAGAGCTAGATTGCTTAGTGGCGCAGGGGGTCTTCAAACCGGTCTTCCAAGCGCCCTGGGAGACCCACAGTGTAACCCCCGTCAAGCCCAACGGTGACGTCTGCATCTGTGCAGACTATAAATGTACACTAAATAAGGCCCTCCACAACCATTCTTACCCGGTCCCGGTCATGAGTCATGTGTTAAACTCTCTAGCAGGGGCTAAGATTTTTGGCAAGTTGGATCTCACGCAGGCATACCAACAATTGCTAGTGGACGAGACCTCAGCCACAGCCCAGACTATGGTTAAACTCCGGGGGGCTTTTAAGGTTAAACGGCTGCAGTTCGGGGTGAGTGTTGCCCCGGGGATATTTCAGCAATTAATGGACTCTTGGTTGAAGGGATCCCTGAAGTGACGCCATTCTTTGATGACGTTCTCATCACTGTGGCCACCCTGGACGAATTTGCCTCCCGCCTCTGTCATCCTCTGCCATTTCGACTCAGCGTGCCTCAAAGTAAAATGGGAGAAGTGCCTCCTTGGGGTCCCAGAGGTGGACATCTTGGGCTTCTGGGTCGATCTGTCTGGGCTCCATCTGGCGAGGGACAAGGTCAAGGCCATAGTGGAGGCCCCTAAACCCACTTGCAAAACGAAACTTCAGGCGTTTTTAGGGCTCCTGAACTTTTGCCACACCTTTCTGCAGCACAAGGCTGCAGTTGCGGAGCCCCTTCACTGCCTTCTGGACAAGTTGGCGCCCTGGTTGTGGGGCTGGAGGGAAGCAGCGGCATTCAAGGGGGTCAAGGCGCTCCTCATGAGCAAGCATGGTTTCCATTATTCCTATGGAAGTCAAGGGCAAGCGTGGTTTCCATTATTCCCAATGGGCAAACGTGCTTTCCATTATTCCCTATGGGCAAGCGTGCCCTCCATTATTCTCAAAGGGCAAGTGCGCTCTCCATTATTCCCTATGGGCAAGCGTGCCCTCCATTATTCTCAAAGGGCAAGTGCGCTCTCCATTATTCCCTATGGGCAAGAGAGAATAATGTAAACTGCTTTAGTCCCCACTGTGGAGAAAGGCCATAGTTTTCCTCAACAGAAGCTGCAGGGGAAAAGGAGACAGAAAGCTGAAGACAGAGGGGCAGATAAAGGTAAATTTGCTGTTTGGTGAGGATAGGGATGCCAACTCCAGGTTGGAAAATTCCTGAATATTTGAGGAGTGGAGCCTGGGAATGCTGGGGATTGAGGTGGGGAGGGACTTCAAACACATATAATGCCATAGACTCCACCCTCCAAAGCAGTCATTTCCTCCAGGGGAACTAATGTTGCCAACCTGCAGGTGAGGGCTGGAGATCTAGAATTACAACTGATCTCCAGATGACAGAGATCAGTTCCCCCAGAGAAAATGGCTGCTTTGAAGGGAGGAGTTTATGGTATTATACCCTGATCATGTCACTTCCAAGCTCAAACCTCATCCTCCCAAAGGCTCCACCCCCAAATGTCCAGCAATTTCCCAACATGGAGCTCGCAACCCTAAGTGGAACTGATCTCTGTATTTGGGCAGTCCATTGATTCCTGGAGAGCAGCTGCTGTCACTGCTGCTGGGGGGGGGGTAGGTGATGATGGGGTGGGGCAGAAAGGAAGTGACAGGCATGGAGGGCAGAGAGAGAAAGAAAAGGGGTGACAGGAAGGAGAAAGCGTGTGAGAGAAGTAGGGGAAAAGGGGAAGAAGCAGAGGTGGGGGGAATGGGATAGTCGCTCCCACAAGTTTCTTGCAGGTCCACACTTGTTTGTTCTAATACTGTGGCCAAATCAGAAATAATTGGATTCCATAAATGGGCATGCCTAAGGTCAGCATTGCAAGAGCCCTTGTACCACTATATCCCACATCCCCTTCTTAGAACATTAGCTGCTAAGCCTCAGTTTCAAGACCATACTATCAGTAAATACCTGTTGCTTAGCAACATAGGTTCTTGTCCACCATTGCGTACTTTGCATGCATGCCACTACTATTGTACACAGGAAGACTATAGTCACATACGTAAGTCTAAAAAAGAAAACAGTACTCTTGAAATTATGTTTATTGTTTAATTAGGTATCTCCACAACTGTGCATTACATTATATAGGTAGGGGGAGGGGGAGAGAACAGTGTTCAGAGCTTTCAGACGTCTTTGAGCCTCTTAATGATGACTGCTTGGGATTTCCAATGGGGGAACAACCTCACCCGTTTCCAAAATTGTGTCACCCTAAGAAGTTAAAGAAATTGTATTAAGCGTCATCACAGTGCAGTTATCTTAAACCACAAATTAAACAGTCATGCTTTTTACAAGGAAAAGTACAGTTCCAGTTGTGATACTACTGCCATATGCTTGTATACAATTTGCTTGTTTTGGAGATACTTTTCTATATGTGTTGATTCCTGCTATATAACAACCAGCTCCACTCCTGCCATGTTAACTTTGCTGTATCATAAGAATCACGCTCCCTCATTGAAGAGGGTTGAGAGTCTGCTCCAACCTACAAGCATGGATGGCTTCAAAAGGGAATTAGATAGGCATATGGAGCAGAGGTCCATCAGTGGCTATTAGCCACAAGGTATAGATAGGGGCTCTGGGCCAAGTGATGCTCTGTCTTCTTGGTGCTTGGGGGGGCCAACAGTGGGAGGGCTTCTAATGTCCTGGCCCCACTGGTGGACCTGGTATTTTTGGCCACTGTGTGACAGAGTGTTGGACTTAGATGGGCCTTTGGCCTGATCCAACATTGGTGTCTCTTATGTTCTTAACCTGGCATTTGTAACTGGAACGGAGCATTCACTCAAAGCCAGAAAATGGCTACCACAAAGTGAAGTGCCTGCTTTTTCAGGGCACCTACACAGCTGTTTGGAAAGGTTCCTACAAAGCAGGCACCTCTCCTTTATCTTACCCTGGATATAGTCTTTCTCACGTCTTTACAAAGGAATAAAAATGGAATGAAAACAAAATCCACTCACTGGGAATATCCTTGGCTTTACTTCCACAATGCCATAGGGCCATGGCTGGAAAAGAAAAAGTAAGCATAAGGTTTTCTGAGGAACATAAGCATTTCTGAACCCAATGTGGTACTTGTTATTATCCAACACTCTGTTCTTTCACCAACTTGTGGTCTGAAGCTATTTCACAGTCCCTCAGTTTATAATCTCTCTAAAAGGATTAAAAGGAGAAGCATTGCTATTGTGCTTCTGGAAACAATCAATTATCAGTTACTGGTAAGATACCACCATCCCAGAGTAACCGCACATTTAAACAATAAATCTAGCCAATTAAGGATGTACAAAAAGCTGACCCATCAGTTCTTAATACAGAAATCCCCACACAGTGTACCAGACAGTCTCTCGCATACAAACCACCCTTGCAGGAACAGGGCCCTTATTCAATATTCACTGTAACTAGGCTGTACAACATGTACTATCCAAACAGAAAAATTAAACTTGCCTTAGGAGAGTTAACTTTCACAGACATTCACTAGAGTTCCACAAGTTCAGCCAACTACTATGATGCATTAATACATGAGACTGCCTCCTAATGCGTCAGACCAGGGGTCTCTCGAGGTCAGCACTGTTTGTTCTGACTGGCAGCAGCTCTCCAGAGTTTCAGGTTGAGGCTGAACCTGGAACATTCTACATGCAAACTAAAGCTCTACTACAGCCACAGCTCCTCCACATTGTTTTCTTGCAAACAGTGGAGCAGGTGCCACTAGTCTCACCCCACCAGCATGCTTTTTTTCAATGAGAGCTAAAAGAACGTTCCCACTCCATTTGTGCCAAATTTTTCCAGCCTTGCTCTGAAGGGACAGTGTGGTGTAGTGATCAGGGTGTGGAGCTAGGACTTGAGAGACTCTCATACAAATTGCTACTCAGCCATGAAGCCCAATGGATGGCCTCGGGCCAGGCACTTGCTCTCACTTAGCCTATCCTGCCTCACAGGATTGTCGTAAGGACATGGGGGGTGTGGGTGGGCAAGAATATGTACCTCAGGTGCAATAAAATAGTTAGAATTCATTTACATACATGTGGCAAAGTTTTATTCATACTAAAATATATATTGGGGGGGGACTGTCTCCTATATTGTCCAGCCCACCAGTTAAGACTCATCTCTCAAGCCCTGCTCTCTGCCCCGCCTTCCGAGGTGAGGCAGGTGTAATTACAGACAGCCTTTTTTGTGGTGGCACCTCATGGTTGGAATGCCATTCCCCTTGAGGTCCTCCTGGTGCCCCCATCATACTGTGTTTTATGTGCCAGGCCAAAACATTTCATTTTGCGCCGTCTTTTAACTTAGGTGTTTTTGCTGCTGTTTTATGGTCTGCTTCTAGTCTAAATTTTGCTTTATGTATATTTTTATGCTTTATTATCTCTCTACTCTGTTTTTAACAGCCTGTCTTGTTTTTCTATTGGCAATTTCTGATGATTCTATGGTATTTTATTTTTAAGGTGCCTCAAGCAGGACTCCGGAAAGGCAGTATAAAATTACCTTAAAGAAATAATATGTATTTGCACACAATGCCCACTGATTTAAGTGTTAAAACATGGGTCTTCCACAACAAGAAAGAGCAACCCTGCATCTGAACACACACACCCCAAACCCTGCTTTTCCCAACCAATCTGCTAGGCAGATTTGGAGCGTGAGATGCACATTCAACTCTGACCTTGCAGGTATACTCTTCTGTATCTCAGCAAGGTGCCCATAAGGTAAGAAACGATTTGCCATAATAATGCAGGGCAGTGAAAGCTGGACAGAATCAAATGCGGCTGCTTCCTTGCAAGCACCCTGCCCACCAGGAAAGCGAAGGTCCCCCTCTCTCAATGGCAACCCAAAGGACTCACTTCCAGAAAAGAGGAGCTCCTTCTAGGTCAAAAAAGAACACACAACCTCTTCCAATTCTGCCCCACAGAGTAAGCATGAATAACCATAGCACCCCTTGCCCTGCAAATCCCCAGGGGCCATCACAATAGTCTGGGTACCACCTCTCATTCCCCAAAAGAAAAAGACATCGTTTGGCTTTTGGAATCTGGAGAGTTAAGGCTTTCTTCTTTGCCCAGGAGACCGGTAGAAAGCAGCAATACCACCACGGGAATACGCAGATTGGCCAGGGACAGTCCAGCCTCCCAGGCTCAAGAAGGTAGCTGTACTCATTCTACAGGACACCCTGAAGTCTTCATGAAAAAGCAAGTGAAGGGTGGGAAGGGAGCTACCACAGATGATGGGAGTGTGTGCGCGCATGCACAGTCACAGGTATGGCTAGGCTCCACAGACCTGTCTGTCAGAAATGGTGCCTTAATGTACTTACCAACAGATGATATTTGACATAGTAGTGGCTAAGCCAAAAAGGGATAAGTATCCGAAAGAAAACAAATGTCCCAGCACGGTATGTTTTGAACACCTAGAAATAAATTGCTCTTATTAGTTGTCTAAACTTTCAATAGACACAACACAAGCTAGGCAAGAAAGGGCATCATTGAGTTCTACTTGTATTCTGCTACTTCTCTATTCCAGTTGCCACAAGAATAGATCATGCTCTTGCAGCAGCAGGTCAAAAATCCACTGCTTTAATATACTTTCCATTATTCACTACGGGCAAGCGTGCTTTCCATTATTTCATATGGGCAAGCATACTTTCCATTATTCCCTATGGGCAAGCGTGGTTTCAATTATTCTCTATGGGCGAGCGTAGTCTCCATTATTCCCTATGGGCAAGCGTGAACTCCATTGTCCTCTGTGGGCAGGCGAGGATGCTCTCCAGTAGTTCCTATGGGCAAGTGACGTGTTCTCTCTCAATCCCTATGGCAAGCATTGACTCCGTTTTCCCTATGGGGAAGTTTGGTCTGTATTATTCCCTTTGGGCAAGCGTGGACCCCAATATCCTCTGTGGGCAAGTGTGGTTTCCCTTATTCCCCACGTCCGCATGTGGTCTCCCTTATTAATTGTGCGAAGCGTGGACTCCATTATACCCTATGGTCAGGTGTGCTCTGCTCTCCATTATTCCCTATGGGCAATCATGGATTCTCTATTGGCAATCATAGATTCTCTGTTGGCAATTATGTACTCCATTATCCCCTATGGGCAAGTGTCCTCTCCATTATTCCTTATGGGCAGTCATGGATTCTGTATTGGCAATTATGGATTCTCTATTGGCAGTTATGTACTGCACTATCCCCTCTGGGCAAGCGACCTCGCCATTATTCCCTATGGGCAATTATGGATTCTCTATTGGCAATTATGGATTCTCTATTGGCAATTATGGATTCTCTATTGGCAATTATGGATTCTCTATTGGCAATTATGGATTCTCTATTGGCAATTATGTACTCCATTATCCCCTATGGGCAATCATGCATTCTCTGTTGGCACGCATGTATTGCCTATGGGCAATCGCTGTCCACTCATGTATTCCCTATGGGCAATCGCTTGTCCTTAGTTTTAGTACGTCCCCTGTGTTGGCCCTACAAAACAACAAGGAAT